GGTTAGTTAAGGTCAAATGTCAATTTCTATGCATGTGAGTGTGTCTGTCTCTGTATTTGTATGTGCATGTAAGTGTTCGCTTATGCAGAGCCTGAAATTAGCCCTTTGAAAATTCTGATTTAGGGCGGGTATTGCGTATAGACGCTAAGACACACGCATAAACACGCACACACACTCGAGCAAATGTAGCAGGACCAGAATGAAACGTAATTAGCCAAACCACTCTATATCTATCTAGGTTTTTATTTTGTTTTGCTTAATTAGGTCTAGATAAGAGGTAGGATAGAGCCGGATATTCTTTTTGTCCTAGTGCTAATGTGAGACTTCTGCAGGAATGAGACCCAGCTCTGATGATGTCCATCATATGAAGGATGTAGTCTAAGCCCGTTTTCACCTGAAACGAGGGAGGAAGTCTCGTGGACTGCTTTAACCTGTACGTCGTATAAAAGTCACATGGCTGCAGGACAACTGGATTCATCCGTCCTCTTCTGGCTAGATCGACCTGCGAATTCGTTCTTCATGTACGTTTATACGAAATGAAAGTCCCCTCAACAATGTTATATCAGCAGATTCATTGAAACCCGGTTCCTCTTAGTATCGGAAATTTAGAAATTGTAAATAAATTCACTTATTTGAAGGGGCTCTAGGGCACTTTCAGTTTACGAAATAGGGAGGATTACCTTTACGATAATTTTCAATGATAGGGGAATATTTTGTGCAATGGAATATTGATTGGTCCTCATTTTATAAAAAAATTACCTGTCAAGTATGCAGAAGGGCTTCATAGGGCATGTGCGGCTAATAACAAAAATCCTAGTTAGCTATATGGATAATTATTTTGCAATTTGGCAGCATAGTAAAGATAAGTTTGATAATTTCGTGTTTTTAATTAACCAGAAGGATAGTAATATTAAGTTCACAATGAAAATAAGGAAGGATATTTGTTTCCGTTTTTATATGTTTTAGTTATCCGGGCAGCATAGAAGTTGAGCATGAATATTTTGAAGGCACATAGGCATACTAACCAGCATATGATAGCTTTATCTTTACTTTCTTCCGAGAATAAAATTACAAAATTAAGTGTGGTACTTTAAAATCTCTGGATATTCGGAGTATAAGATTAGCTATTAGAAACTATTGTGATAACGAGTTGTATAGGCTGAAACTGGTATTACTTTAAAATAAATATCCTTTAGGCTTGATCAAAATAACGATAAATCAATAGGGAATACTTTACTAAATGGGGAATATAGGCGAAGAGATAACATAGATTTGACTTCTTGTCTTTATTCTAATCATGCTCATTTTACTGTACGTTTTAGTTCGCTCTTTCTCTCAAACATAAATACAAATGCTTATCAAGTTAACAAGACAGCATCTGAAACCGGTGGTGAAAGCGATTACTCTTCACTAAATCGACTTGTAGCAACACTCTCAGGCGACATTGAAGGAAACGACAACAAAAAAAGAGGCCATGTGAAGTGGGATTTATAGAAAAAGATGAAGCATTAGAGGATAGAACGAAAAATAGGGGCGAAGAGTGATGCCAAAACTGCTCAACAGAAAATTTCTCACCGAGATTTCCCTCATTTGTCACTTTGATCAGTTGTAACTCTGTGCTAACGATGGTACCTCTCAATGATGATGCCTACTACGATGCTGGTGTGACGCCTGGGAATGTACCAAGTCAATGGTCTGATGTTGGAGATCCAGAATATTATCACAGAGGCCTCATGACTAGGTACGTTCCAAAAGGTCTCCCTGTTTCTCTGACCAAGTTGCGACATGTTCGAACCAACGCCAACAAGACGTTTGTCAGAATTTGCGCAATCGGAGTGGGTGAGGGTTGTCATCAAACTTTGATGGCCGAGAACAGACATAACTTTTCCTGTTCTAACTACTTTGAGAAATCCCTGCTGTTTCCTTACATATATTAACACATGAAAACACAGGTATACATAGCCAGATATGCTTATATGCTTCGAGGCTTACATATGACTTGAACTTCATCAAAGAGCTTAGATATTGGGTAGATATGCAAAATTTAACTATAAGCCGATGAGTTTTCTTGACTCGAGCTTTAATATGGTTGTAGAGATCATGCTATGCTTTGATGATTTCTTTCATACAACAGACTAAAGCTCAAAACGTTTGCACTAGAATCGAAGAATACTGCTTGGGAAATAGCGTCAACAAATATTTTCGAGTAAAGCTAATCTACAGCTGGTCAAGAGGAATCCACCATTATCTTCTGGTGAGATCTACCATCGAATCTCTTCAACAAACACTTTCACTTAAAATGTAAGAGAGTTCAACAATTGTGAGCCAATATATTTATCGAAACCCAAATTTACCTTTATAACTAATGTAGAATCTAACTTTTAAAATGACGCATTTTGCCCCAAAATCTTATTCGTACAGATGTTGGATTTATTCAGGCATAAATTTATGTTACATGAGATGTGTCACCTTATTTTGTATAAGGTGATCAAAGGACTGGTAATGGAAATTTCCTACACTGCTATTAGTAGGCTTTACGCCTCCATTGGCTTCCGCAAAGCCTTCCTTCATAAAAGATGATATCATTCAAGGTGGAGTACAGTTTCGACCTCGCCTAGGTCTTAGCAGCACCCCCAGCAGCATTCGAACCATGACATTACAGCGTATAATCTCGATACGTTAACCATTACGCCACGTTGACACTGTTGCTTTTGTGTCACAGTGCAGATGCGAATTTCAAAGAAGGCCAGACATTCACCCATATCACATCATGTGGTGGGATTGTCAGCAAATCAATGTTATATTTGCTATGGCAATCGGTTACATGGCTTATTTATTGTTTGTAGTTAGGTTTTTGAGACTACGATTTGATCATATCTATGATTTTCATCAGCCTTTCAGCATTACTCGCACTGGTGTAGTGTAGCATTAGTCTAGACACTCTACTCACTATCCGAATTCAAGTCCCGCTGGGGATGGCGATGAGACAAGGTTGAAACTGCAGTCC